ATAAATACATTGTGTCTGTCTGTCTGTTATGGATGTAGTCTACACATGCCCTATGAGTACATTCCTAGTGAATTCAAGGAGATGAGTCTCCTCCTTGTATTTCACTCTATTTACCTACCAGGAGTAATACATGAAATCTGGCAGGACAAGGCCAGGATTATTCTCGTTGCCCTAGTGTAGACCAGATGTCAGTGGCCTTCAGAAATACATTGTGTCTGTCTGTCTGTTATGGATGTAGTCTACACATGCCCTATGAGTACATTCCTAGTGAATTCAAGGAGATGAGTCTCCTCCTTGTATTTCACTCTATTTACCTACCAGGAGTAATACATGAAATCTGGCAGGACAAGGCCAGGATTATTCTCGTTGCCCTAGTGTAGACCAGATGTCAGTGGCCTTCAGACATTGTAGGAAACACATCTATTTTTATCATTTTCACAAGATCTTTTGACACAAGTGGAGAAAGATCCATCAAAGATATTTCATCTAGCATCTGGATGTTTGATTCTCATTGTTTCACAGCTTCGTTGCTCATCTGAAGTATGTTGAGTGCTGGATCTCCAGAATGCTGTCAGTCCTTCCCTTCTGTTGCCTATAAGTGGGAAAGATTCTCTCTGTGGGCTGGGTCAGGTAGTGTAGCTCCATCCTTAGCAGTTGTTCCTTTTTTACTGGAATATTTACTGTACCTCAAGTTGGTGGGATTGTCACTTTCTTCAGTCAAGAAACATCTGTAAATCATTTCTGTAGTGTAATTCTGTCTAAACCCATGGGAGAATGTTCCCCGTTTCTCCCTTTTAAAAGAACTTTGATGATAGCTGTAACAGAACGGTGCTGCTATGATTCAGTCTGTGCACCCCATTAGTGAAACTACCCTATCACAGGACATCATCTTGTTTTCAACAGTCTTCTAGCCCACTGAGATGATGAAGGGCCATTTGTGAAGCCCACTCACTAGCCTAAGTTACCCAATGCTGCTTTATGGCCCTCCATAAGAATTGAATGGTCCTTTGAATCTTTCCAAAATTTCTTGATAGGCTGGTAACTGTTTTCCCTTTCAATCAGAGCTTGAATCTGTGAGTATTTTTCCCAAAACGTCACTCTTTTCCAGGGGAAGTGAAGTCACATACTTTAGAGACAAAGATGACATTACTGTATTTAATTAAGTAAAAAAAAAAAAAAAAAGTATTCTCCTAGGCTTTTTCCTGTGGGGATAATCATGAGAGTCAGGTGATTGCAATTTGATAGGTGTCCAAGTTGACAAAATGCTATGTTAAGGAATGCTCTAAACAGCCTTGAGTCCCTATTAGAGGAGCTCAGGGTCTATTCAACCAAGGCTATGGCAATTTCCATGTTTCATCTTAGGTCTGTCCCAGTAATTAAGATCTGCAGAGCTGCTGAGTGAAGCTGAGTCAACACATTCTCAAAACGCTATTTAGTGGACATGGCATCAAGATCTGATGCTCAATTTGGGGAAGCCATGTTACTCAACATTTAAATAGGACTCTTCATCCAGCCATTCTAGGGAGGATAAGCACTGCTTACTAGACTTCAAGTAGTGGGAAGTAGTTGAAAGCATTTTACTCCTCTTTCTATTGCCTCACCTTCAAAAGTTTGCAAGGAAGGAGTGCCTTGGAACATCTAGTGATCACTGCTTCCTGAAGTTTCAACCAAATCAGTCAAACTACTAGCACATCTCCTAATAGTGAGGTAAATCAGAAGTTCATCTTGAAGAACTCCAGTTATTGGTGTGTAACTGTGTGTAACCTTTCCCCCTTTTATTTCAGTATGTTGTTGTAAGCAGTAAAAAGATATTGTTCTATAATGATGAAAAGGACAAGGACCAGTCTAATCCATCCATGGTACTAGATATTGAGTAAGTGAAGCTACTGTTAATTTGACGTAAAACAAATTTGGTAGAAAAGCATTTTATATACAGTGACTGAGAAATTTGAAAACTCAGAATCAAGATACGGGAAACAACTTTGAGTCTCCTTTGTGTTTTTGAATATTCATGTTTATCTGTCCTGCTTCAAGATACACTGAACATACTAGTACTTTGTTTCTAATATCTTCAACATTTAGACTTCAATGATAATTTCTAGTGCACAGGTAGTCAATAGATGGACCATGAGCAAAATCCAGACTGTTAGATGGTTTTGAATGGACCCCCCAAAATTTTTGTATATTTATCATCATTATTATTATTTGTATTGTTTTCTCTGGAGTCTGGCTCTTGACTATACCTTGATTAAGAAATTTGACAAAAAATTGACTGCCTCTGTCCTAGTGTCTTGTTTTGATAAAATATAAAGGAAACAAATTAACTACCGGATATGATGATGATTTAGGCCTAGTACTTCCATCCATAGTTATCATATTGCAAACATTAATGAATTAGGCCTCACAGTATTACTCTGAGGCTCTAAAACCTCCCTTCCTGTCTTCAAAAAGAATGCATGCTTAATAAAATGATCCTAGTCCCATTTTACATATTTTGGTATTCCTTGTGTACAAAGGAACAAATTATGCATAAACATATTACTAAAGCCAGATTACAGCCCTGATATCAGTGGGATAACGTGTATGAGTACAGTTAATAATAAGATTGAGCCTGCAATCATGTCTAGAGCAGTTTAACCAAGAGATTTTATGTATTTTCTATTAGCACTTTCCAAATCTCGTTTGTATAATTTCAGTAAACTATTCCATGTCCGACCTGTAACCCAAGGAGATGTATATAGAGCAGAAACTGAAGAGATCCCTAAAATATTCCAGGTAAAAAGGAACCTAAATACTTCTTTAAAATCAGTAAAATTTGTTTATTATAAAAGTTTTTCCAATAAATCTTTTTAAAATTTTGCTCAGATTCTCTATGCTAATGAGGGGGAATGCAGAAAAGATTTGGAAGCAGAACCAGCACAAACAATGGAGAAGACAAATTTTCTAAATCACAGAGGTCATGAATTTATTCCTACATTATACCACTTTCCAGCCAACTGTGAGGCCTGTGCCAAACCCCTCTGGCATGTCTTTAAGCCACCCCCTGCCTTGGAATGTCGAAAGTGCCATGTTAAGTGCCATAAAGATCACATAGATAAAAAGGAGGAATTAATTGTCCCATGCAAAGGTAAGGCACTCTAACTATTATATTTGTTTTGTAACTTGAAACAGCTATTCTGTGCATTTCTAGCCAACTATTTCAAATTACTAGAGGAAAACAAAAATAATTAATGATAGGTTTAGAAGAATCTTCATTGGTAAGGATAGTGTTAAAATGTTAGACAACTAACACATTGCCATTAAAGAGGCTAACTGTGTTCTGCCTTCACTTTCTGTATTATAATATATGTAGAGTAGTGTATTACATGAAGAGAATAGGCAGTAGGAAGGGGAATCTATGGAGCACTCACTGCCACATGGATCCTCCCATCTTCTGTGCCAGGGAAGATAATGGAGCAAGTAATTAAGGAAATCATCTGTAAACACTTGGAAAGTGGCAAGGTGATAGGGAACAGCCAGCATGGATGTGTAAAGAATAAATCCTGTCAAACCAATCTGATAGCTTTCTTTGATAGGATAACAAGTCTTGTGGATAAGGGAGAAGCGGTGAATGTGGTACACCTAGACTTTAGTAAGGTGTTTGATACTGTCTTGCATGATATTCTTATAATAAACTAGGCAAATACAACTTAGATGGGGCTACTATAAGGTGGGTGCATAACTGGCTGGATAACCGTACTCAGAGAGTAGTTATTAATGGTTCACAATTCTGCTGGAAAGGTATGACAAGTGGGGTTCCGCAGGGGTCTGTTTTGGGACCGGCTCTGTTCAATATCTTCATCAACGATTTAGATATTGGCATAGAAAGTACACTTATTAAGTTTGCAGATGATACCAAGCTGGGAGGGGTTGCGACTGCTCTGAAGGATAGAGTCATAATTCAAAATGAACTGCACAAATTGGAGAAATGGTCTGAGGTAAACAGAATGAAGTTTAATAAAGACAAATGTAAAGTGCTCCACTTAGGAAGGAACAATCAGTTTCACACATACAGAATGGGAAGTGACTGTCTAGGAAGAAGTACGGCAGAAAGGGATCTAGGAGTTAGTGGACCACAAGCTGAATATGAGTCAGCAGTGTGATGCTGTTGCAAAAAAAGCAGACATGATTCTAGGATGCATTAACAGGTGTGTTGTGAGCAAGACACGAGAAGTCATTCTTCCGCTCTACTCTGCACTGGTTAGGCCTCAGTTGGAGTATTGTGTCCAGTTCTGGGCACCGCATTTCAAGAAAGATGTGGAGAAATTGGAAAGGATCCAGAGAAGAGCAACAAGAATGATTAAAGGTGTAGAGAACATGACCTATGAAGGAAGGCTGAAAGAACTGGGTTTGTTTAGTTTAGAAAAGAGAAGATTGAGGGGGGACATGATAGCAGTTTTCAGATATCTAAAAGGGTGTCATAAGGAGGAGGGAGAAAACTTGTTCATCTTGGCCTCTGAGGCTAGAACAAGAAGCAGTGGGCTTAAACTGCAGCAAGGGAGGTTTAGGTTGCACATTAGGAAAAAGTTCCTAACTGTCAGAGTAGTCAAACACTGGAATAAATTGCCCAGGGAGGTTGTGCAATCCCCATCTCTGGAGATATTTAAGAGTAGGTTAGATAAATGTCTGTCAGGGATGGTCTAGACAGAATTTGGTCCTGCCATGGGGGCAGCGGACTGGACTCGATGATCTCTCGAGGTCCCTTCCAGTCCTCGTATTCTATGATTATATGATCATTTTCTGCACCTTCATAGAGGGACACATTGGAACCATAGAGGATACTGTAGCCTAAGGCTAGAACAGCAGCCTTGAAGTGGCTATGCATCTGTCCCATGGGCAGAAGGTGAGCATTCTGCCTTTGTGCTCCCAGAGAGCAGTACACATCCCTATACTGGGGATGTGTGTTTCTCTTGAATTTGGGCCAGAGAGTACCAACACAATTGTACCAGCTCTATTAAGACTAAAATTAAAGTCAGTCTCCATAACATTGATTATATTAATGTAGACAGCTTTGCAGATTTTTGTTTAATTTCTGTAATTTCTCCAACATTTATTGTATGTTTTACAAATATATAACCCATTTCAATAAAAATGTGCTAGGTTATGCAGATTGCAGCATTCTCCAAGCAGCATCATTATCATAACATTGTAATCCTGTTAATGATGATTCCTAGATTTTAATTGAACAGTCTTCTTTCTTCTCTTATTTATAGTGAGTTATGATGTAACTTCAGCAAGAGACATGTTGTTGTTGGCATCCTGTCAGGATGAACAGAAGAAATGGGTCACTCATTTAGTAAAGAAGATCCCCAAGACACCCCCATCCAGTTTCATTCGTTCTTCCCCTAGAACTCTGTCTGGAAGATCCTCTGCAAATCAGTCTTTCCGAAAAGTTGTTAAAAATGCTTCTGGAAAAACTAGGTAAGAAATTAACTATAAAATTTCTAGCTCATTTTCATGCAAAAAGTCCATGTATCATACGTTATGGAGGCTTTGTTAGTAATTCTGCAGATAAACTTGTGATGAACTTTCCACTTACAAAGTAAAATTGCTTTGTTTCACAGTTTCATTTTTGAATAATCTTCATGAAATACAGATACAAATCAATTTTGAAATTTAGTCCTGAGACTCTCATCTTTCAACTTTGAGTGATTGTCCATATGCATATTCCATTAATGGGGTGTGTGTAGCTCCTGCACCTGAGCGCAGAACCTTTTGTCCAGCATATCTGTATCAGGAACATGAGGAGCTGCAGATGCATGTGCATAAGTGAGGGCATAAGTGGTGGAGAACACCATCTGCCATCAGTTTCTCTGTCACGATTTGGCAGTAACATAAAGCAGTTGTTGTCCATACCCCTATGTTCTAGTTTAGTAGTGCATTCATATTTATAATTATAGATAGTGTGCTTTCTAATATTGAGAGAGAGAGAGAGAAAATACTTTTTCTGAGGTGGCCACCTTAGGGTCTCCAAAGTTTAAGTACATCCCTTTTTTCTAAAGGACCATGTCCACCAGTGAGACATGTATTAAAGGCCACTAGTCTTTCAGAGAATTTTACATTCCTGGAAAATATAAAAGTTGAAAATTATTCACATTGCAGGCTTGTAAAAACAGAGAGGGCAGTACTTCAGATTTTTCTGTGTTAGATCCATAGAGCTGACATCAAATCCAGGCTGACTACCGTCCCCTTTTTCCCCCTACCCCAGTATGCTCTGCTCCAAAGAGTATATTTGTGGGCTCCTTACCGCACTGGTGGTCATGCTGCATGACCCACAAATTAAGAACAATGAAGAAGAGGCAAGCTGAAGAAAAAACTCAGAGCACAGGAAACTCTAAGGGCAGATTCTTTCTTGTAAGAATTGTGCAAAGTGGAGTTCTCCTCTCATGCACAACTTATCAGAAGTTTTGTAGCCAGCCATGCACCTGTAGAAGCTTGATGTGTCTTACTACTGAGGAATCTCTGAGATTGACACCCTCAGGATCCCGGAAAATAAGCGACACCAATCCTTGATTTACTGCCTTAAAAAGCTACATTTGGGTGGGGTGGATGGGTGGGTGGGTGTGTGTGTGTTTTCTGTCAAGTGACAGATTGATTTCATCATGCTCTCTAGCCGCGAAAGCCTCCACAGATAGGGGGCTTGGTGAGCACAGGGTGCTGCTATTATTCTTTATGAGCACCTTGTATCAATTTAATTTAAAATAATTTTCTTTAAGGACACCATACATACATGATTCCCTTTGCCTCAGTGGATAAAGAATCTATGAACAGGGGAAGGTTCAGTCAGTTAGCGCAAACTCTTCCCCTTGCGGAATTCCAATTGTTCAGCTCCCTCTGAACCTTTTTATTCAGTTCCTTTTTGAATGCAGTCAACAGTTGAGCTATGTAAGCTGCTCACTCACACTACTCCTGCTCTCTTTTAAAACGTGCTTTAAAACTCCACTGGATCCTTCATTCATCATTCCCTTTTAATTAATTAATTTTTAGTTGGCATTGAGCCTTTAGACTCAGTTTTGAATAGCTTTCTTGAAAATCCTGGTTGTTTCCAAGAACACTTCTGTCTGGGGTTTGAGGCTGCTATTTCATCTTTGTCTGTTGAAGCTTAAAGCAATTAAGAAGTCTTAATTTGCCTGTGCCACATTGGAACAATAGCTTTCTTTGGCACATTGATGTGTCAGGAATGAGGACATCTCCTGCATTCAATTAATTTGTTAGTATGGGTAGTATATCCTATTTCTTCCCCTCTCCCCATCTTTCGTTTGTTTCTTTGTTTGTTCTCTCAGGGGGTTTGTTTATCTGTGAAGGCTACTTCCACTAGTCTTCACCACATAGCACTTGAGGTTAATCTGGCAATATTTTCTGGATGGCTTATGCCTGGTTCAGTGACCTTCTGTCATCAGATTCCTAAATTCTATAAATATATCTCTAGCCAGAGTTAAGGCATTTCCTCCAGTTAAAGATCTCAGTATCTCTGCAATCTAACTGTCATGTCTGGGTTTTATACTGGGGTCTAGCAAAGACTTGAACTGTCAGGGTTGTTCGCTTTCAGCACAAAGTAGCCTTCTGACACCTTGCTCACTACTAACTTTTATCTGACAAATTTAACCTCCTCATACTACTAAGAATGTAATAGGATCCCCCCATACCACTTGGATAATCATTGCTCCCTTATGAGGTCTGGAGAGCTGTCTTACACACAGTAGTTTACCAAATGTATGCCTCAACAAGCCCAATAGCTGCTTCAACTATTAAGGCTCTAGCACTTGGGGGATCCCAAATAGCACTCTAACTGCTGAACAACTATCCTTCTCCCAGGACAACTAGAGATCCTGCCTCTGAGCCAGTCTAACAAAAGCCCTGATCCAAACCCCATGCAAGTCAGTGGAAAGACTCCCATTGACTTAAATTTGAATTAGGTCTTAAACTAATAATGGGCAATCTAGGCTAGTGACTGGGCCGAAAGAGTGGCCCTTCTTCGTCTTCAGGGGCCGCAAGATTGTGGTAACCAAGATAGTCTCCTGGGATAGGGTAGTTTAGCTTAACTGTTCTTGCATATTTAGAATTTGCGGGTTGTGCCAGTTTAACCATAGCAATGCTTTCATTGGATGCAGAGGGAGTGCATGGCTCTTTTGGTCAGTGTTGTGTGCAGCCTCATTTCACATGCCCTTGCTTTACATGTGTCACTTGAGTAATACCAGTAAGGGGGAAGGGAGGGAACTATGCTGATGGAAATTAGCATAATCTGGCAACCCTGCGTGTAGGCAGCATTAAACAAAATGTCTCATGAGCCCCACATAGAATCCCAGTGGGCTGTATGTTGCCCACCACTGCCTTAAGTGGTCTTCCACCTGCCATAGAATATTCTTCTTTTGGCACCCTCTAATTCTCCTCATGAAAAAAGAATCCACTGATGATTTAATATTGTTTAGCTGATTCTTAACATAACCTTGTAATTCTGCTTCTTTTAAGATACCTTCACATAGCATTCTTCCTTTCCCACTTGCTTTGCCTTATAATTTAAGGGTTTTATTGTAAATTTGTGTGTTGCTTTCAGCGCCTTTGTATGTTCATCCATGAAATGATCTTCATGCAGTGAATTCTGGAGTATTCATAATTGTGGTTGAATACACTTTTGCATTATCTAAGCACAAGGAAAGATGCTTCTAAAAAGGAAGGTGCATTGTTGGGTACCTCTCTGGAACAAATCCCAGATTTCTTCTAAAGGATGAATTTAGGGAAAAGGGGAATAATATAACATTGTATTATGTATCTTAAGGCAAAATGTGTTGTGTTGATCATTGGAAATATACAAAATAAAAATAACCATTGGAATGTCACAGTCCTCATTGAATGATTGTAAAAACTACATTTTTTGAGTATGCCAACCAATATATCTGCCTGTTTATTATGCAGTGTCTGTTGCATACTGTCACATTTATGCCTGTAAAATAGCTTATATTTTACTTTTTGTATATTTATAGATTTGTGTCCTTGGTTTTCTCTTATCAGGGAGTTACTTTTTCCTTGTGCAAAGGTTTCAAGTAGCTGTTACTGTGTAATAGTCCAGTAACGCGATCTTCAGCTTATGGCATATTGATCCAATGATCTTATCAATTGTATATTCTTCAAATTATAGCAACAGAAGTCTCCGGATGGACTTTCGCACATGCATCCTCACAACAAAAAATCATCAGTCTCTGTTTCTGATTTTACTTACTTCAAGGCTCATTTAAGCCAAGGGTTTCATTTTATATCACAATACCACGTTAGACCAAGAAGTTCTGCTGTTCAGCTAGATTACAATTGTCAATCTCTTTGTTGGATTCTCTTGTACTTGAAGAACAATCAGATTCTTCACTTAGATCATGCACTTTTGAATCGAGCAACTTGGCTTCTGAGATTTACCATTTCAGGATCTTGAACTTCACCCACATATTCTTAAAGATTATTTAGGAGACACACAAACTTCCCATTCAGACTCTTAAAAAATAATGAGAAGACATTCTCTGAGAAGTGGAAAACCAGTTAACTGAATCCTTTCCTCTCTCTTTTAATAGCAGTTTGCTCTGGGTCTTGTCTTTAACGAGCCTAGACATACAGTTTACTTTTTTTAGATGCTCACATAGAGTGCATTGAGCATTCAGTGCATCTGAAATTTTTCTTGAAATGTTCATTTCTACATTTCAATAGGTCAAAAGATTGTGGATCTATGGGGGAAAGTACCCATTCAGAAATCTCCAGTTATTGGTGAGTAATCTTCCCTTTTAATCCAATTGACACCTTTGTGTCATGTAACAGCAAAAAATCTGTGTTCTAGCACTGAATAAAGAACTTCATTATAAAAAAAAGGAAAACAGATTCCTAATTTTCTAAATTATCTGTTTTTCTCTCTCCCCTTCTTCCCTCCGCCACTTCATTGTAGATCTTCTGCCCAAACCTTCTTTTGCCCCTTTACTTTGCCTTCCTGCTATCGCTGTAAATAAACTAATCAGATACATGCTCTCAGTGTAGGATCTGAATTTTACTAATACAGTATGTGCCAGGATGGTGGGAGTTAAAACTTTAATAGCAATATATTCTTCTCAGACCTACTCTGAATCTCTTGGTGGAGATGTACATAATATCAGCAAAGAAACATGCCCCAAGAAATATTGTCATGTTCTCAGGACTAATTCAGACCTACTTTATTTGCAAAACACACAGCATTTTCTGCATTTTAACTGTCAGATACTGTAAGAATTGAGTGTGTATCCTGGGATAGATACTGTTCTTCAAGTGATTGCTCATGTGCATTCCAATATGCGTTCATGTGCACAACCATCAGAAGATTTTTCCCATCGGTTCTGCTGTAGCGCTCCTTGTGGAGATGCTTTGCAGCATCACACATATAAATCTGCCTACCTGACCTCCACTTCAGTTCCTTCTTTCCGCCAGTGACCGTGTTGGAGTTTCACAAGTAGTTAGTCCCTAGCATAAGGTTTCTTTTTGTTGGTTGTGTAAATTAGTTGTTCTTCTAGTTAGTTGGTTGGTTAGTTTGGGGAGGGGTCCCCTTCTTATTGTTCATGCTCCCAGGGCATTCAGCAGCCCCAGGGTTTCAAGCAGTGTGTGAAGTGTGGTAAGCAAATGCCTGCTTGAAGTGCCTTGGAGGGGTCACCTGCTAGATAAGTATAGTATCTGCAGGGGGTTTAAGTTGAGAACCAAAAATGAGAGGGACCAGCACTGGGTTGGGGCACTTATGAACCTGGTGTCCCATGTGTTTAGAAGGCTGCCGCTGAGGCTGGTCCTGCTCTCCCATGACAAAGGTCGTTTGCTCCATCCAAGCCTCAGGTCGCTCCATTTGACAACATGGCTCATCCATGATTGAAGCTGCAGGAGTTGGCATGTTTGGGGGACATGCAGCGGATTCTCCTTAGGAGTTGTAAGCCCTCAGCGCAATCCACCTACGCTGCTAAAGGGCCTGTTTTTCCATGTGGGTGCGGCAGCGGTGAGTAGTTCCTGCCGAGGCCTCCCTTCAGGAGATCCTGGACTACTTGCTGTCCCTGAAGTTGCAGGGTATGGCTTTGGCCACCATCAAGGTCCACTTGGCGACCATGTCCGTCTTTCACCCACTGCTGCAGGTCATTCAGTATTCTTCCATGGATTACCTCTTGGTTCCTAAGGAGACTGGGCGGCTCTACCCCCAAGTCAGGGACCCTCTTCTGCATTGGGATCTTAACCTGGTCCTGGCAAGGCTCACGGGTCCCCCATTCGAGCCATTAGCCATGTGCCCCCTTTTGCTACTCTTCTTCAAGGTGGCCTTCCTGATTGGCATTACCTTGGCTAGACTGGTATTGGAACTCCAAGAGATAATGTCAGAACTTCCGTATATCCAGTTCTTTAAGGACAATACCCAGCCTTTCTCCGTGAGGTGGTCTCCACCTTCCATGTGTACCAGGGCATTTTTCAGTCAGTCTTCTACTCTAAGCCTCATGCAAACAAGAAGTGCCTCCATTCACTGGATGTGCGTGAGATGCTGGCTTTTTACCTGGTGTTGATGAGGGTCTTTCATAGCTTTATGCAGATGTTTGTGGCCTATGTGGAGCACAGGAGGGGTTCCCCATCTCCTCCCAGAAACTGTCTAAATGGATTACTTCCTGCATCCATATGTGCTATGAGTTAGTGAGGGCCCAGCCACCAAAGATGATTAGGGCCCAGTCCACTAGGGCTCAAGCTTCCTCACGAGCTTACCTCACACATTTCCCAATCCAGGATATCTGTAAGGTGGCAACATGTTCATCGGTTCATACATTCATGTCTCATTATGCCATCACACAGGAGGCCTAGGAAGATGCTGCATTTGGCAGGGTTGTGTTGTAGTCTGCATTTTCATAACTCCTACCCCCCTCAGCAAACATTGCTTTCAGTCACCTATGTTGAATGGACATGAGTACACACTCGAAGAAGAAAAGACAGTTACCTATTCTGTAACTGGTGTTCTTCGAGATGTGTTGCTCATGTCCATTCAACCTCCCACCCTCAGCCCCTCTGTCAGAGTTCCAGCAAAAAGGAACTGAGGAGGGAGGGGCTGAGGGGGCGCCCTATACAGCGTGGTGAATGTGCACCACTCCAGGGGGTGCTGGGGACCCCAGGCTCTACGGGTGCTGCTTAGGGAAATACTTTCAGCACCAGTGCATGTGGCAGGCGCACACACACGCCTTTGTTGAATGGACATGAGCCACATGAAGAGCACCATTTATAGAACTGGTAACTGTCTTTTTATGACCAATACTGTCTGCAGATCTGAAAGGATACTTTATGATTCTCACACAACTTTTTATGTTGAGGGTTGGTGTGCCTCTTGATATTTTTTATATTTATTTTGATATAGTAGCTTAGAATTACAAGGAGAGTGCGTAAGATCATTACTGTATTTGCAACATTAATATTTACACTGAAACCGAATAGGCTTATCAGGTAAAGTCCATTGTTTTGGTCATTTCCACTTCAAAACTTTATAAAAGCTTTGTGATATTTTCCTTCACTATTAACTTAATCCCATTGATTTTTATATGCATTTACCTTATGTGAGACAAGGTAGGTGAGGTAATATATTTTATTGGACTAACTTCTATTTGTTACCTCATGCACGTCTCTCTCAAACATCCAGGACCAACATGGCTACAATACTGCATACATCAATCTTATGTATAATCTAATTGTGATTTTAAAACTTTTAATATAAAGAATTTCATTTTCTTGTCTAAAGTGATACTATGAATGAATTTTCATTTAATCACAACATATTTACTTGGAATTTTATGTGAGCTTTATGGCTTTTATAATTTGCTATTTTGTAAGTGTGGCTGTAGTGCAGTGGTTCTTAAAAGCATGGTCCATGGACCATTTTGCAGGGGGCTCCCTCCCACAGCAGGGAGCCCTCGTTAGCATTTCAGCCCCGCCCCCTTCCCATGGTGATGGCACATCAATGCCTGTTTCCCGCTGCAAGGCGGTGGAGACTCATGTACTGGATCCAGCTTTCAGGGTAAGGAAGTGACTGTGTACTCTTCCACTCCCCCTTTCCCTAGCTGGGACAGGGGCAGGGAGCAGCAGCATAGGAAACTGCTCACCTGGAGGCTTTCCTTGCTGCTCCCATTGGCCAGAATCACAACCAGTGGGAACAGAGAGGGGCAGTGCCGAGAGCAGCAGGAGGATTGTAGCCGGATGAAAGTCCCCCTCATGCCCAGACCATGCACCCACATCACCCTCCCATGCACCTCCTCCGGCCAACATCCCACACCCCCACTGTGCTCCTGCACTCTCCCTTTCTCCCAGATCACACACCCCCACTGTGACCCTGCTCCCTTTTCTTTCTCCACCCTCAGCCCAAAAGCTCCACCCTCAGCCCAATCCTGCACCCACTTTGTCATCGTGGGTGGGTGGTTGGTTGGTGGTCCATAGAAAGGTCTCTTTTGAGTGGGATGGACCAAAATGTTTGAGAACCACTGCTTTAGTGTCATGCTGTTATAATTGGAAAAAAGTTAGAATTTTTTTTTATTTAATCTCTTGATTAACATTAACAATGAGTGTCCTTGTGATTTTTCATTAATTGCAATGTTGTTTTCTTTCTTGCAGCTAACCATATATACAGTAATTTATGGAATCTCATGGGATGCAGTCTGAGAAACTGGGCTTCTTTAAGCACACAGAGCAGTGCAGACAAACTGTTGTTCTTTTCAACACAATTATCCCAGGCTTCAGGGTTAAGATTGCTGTTACTCTCGCCTCCCTGCTTTGGCACAAAAAGCACAATGAGGGTGTTTTATTGCGGGTTGCCTAAAGGTAGATTAGATTAATTATTACTATGTAATGCGAGTTAAAGAAAATAACGCTTAGCTAGGTGTATGAAAAAGGTGCTGCTTTTTTGGATTTATAAGAAAATTCCTGTCAATCATGATGAAATGCAGTCAACTTTCCTCATGTCAATGAGAGAGAAATACTGTTTGCCTTTTGGAGAGGATATTTATATCAAGTTCAGTACACAAACTTGAGCAGAGAAGGAAGATATCTCAAAATGAGAAGAACTGAAATTTCTTTGAAGACTCTGAGTTGTGCTGTTGAACACTGCAGAACTAGCTTAAAAATGAAGCTGTATACTCACTTGAACTTCAGTGCCTTCACTGCAGAGCTCTTAACAGCCTTAATGCTAATCACCCATAATAGAGTTGATTGAAGTGTTAAATAGTTTGCATTATGCTTTACAAAATATTGATTCAGAAAGTGTGTAAAGGGATGAGGACAACAAACATTTAATCTATGCATTTTTGCCAAGCCATATTGAATTATTTTACTATTAGAGGCATTAGAAACTAACCACAAAAGAACCAAGTTTGGAAGAATATTTTGGGGTACATGATTTCTGTAATTGTTTAACATATTGCCTTATTGTTTTAAATGATAACATACATTAAGTTAAATGACATTTAAGAAATGTATGCACTGTTTGAAATATAAATTATTCTTAGAACACTTAAAATGGGTGTTGGATTTCCCTTTTAGTGCCTTATTTTGAGATAATTGTATTATTGCCATGTCAATAAGTGTAGAAATCTCAAAAATCTATTCTGTATCAGTAGTTTTACTGAACTTTAATTGGTTGAAAGTATTGTAGATAGTAGATGCATTTCCTAAATTGAATACAAGAATGAAAACTCCTGTTACAAAGAAAAAATTCGCATTCATAAGTCAAGAAATTACCAGAAAATTCAAAAAGCATACAACACAGAAACAACAATAAACAGTATACCCATGAAACTTTTTAAAACTCCAGATAATTCAGGAATTAAAGTATAAATGCTGTTTAAACTCTTGCTTTGTCACAGGGATACATTCATGGTATGGACAATATGGTTTTATTTCCTATTTTATTTTTTTAACCAAATACCTCCTCAGTAATTTATAATGGCTTTGCAGTTGTATATTAAATAAGAAGCACTGGAAAACTGATTCGTTTTGCATGTTTCAAGTAGTGTTGAAAGACACACTGCACTGATGGATATGTAATAATAAACATATCAGTTATTAATATGGTAATGACTCTGTGCTCATTCAATGAGAAATAAAAGTAATTTATGGAAGGATCTTTTTGAAAATGACTGGTTTGATGTTTTTGCCTGACTAACGTGTACATGTCTTTGAGCACCCAAAACATTTGCTGTAAAATAGGATGAGTATGTCAAAATATTATTTCAGTTTCTCTTACTTTAAAAATTGTTGCATCTGTTTAAGTTGGTGCAAGAAGCTGGTACAGAGTACATTGTAATTTGTTGTTTATGGATCTGAAGAATTACTTGTTCTGCTACATGAACAAGTAAATACCATAGTAACAATACTTGATTTTCAGCTGAAGAAATCTGAGTAATAACAGTGGTAAGTAGCTTACCAAGTAATAGTTCTTGAAATCTCATATAATAATTTTTGTTTTGTAACTTAGTAATCTTTATGTTTTCAGTTATAATTATAACATGGCTAAAAGCAAAATGTATGTATTGCAATACATCTAGGGCAGTGGTTCTCAAACTTTTTGGCCTGTGGCCCACCCGGCTCAATGCAGACCTTTTTCTGCAGAAAACCACCAGTCAGCCACCCATGATGACAAAACAGGTGCAGGAGGGGGGTTTGGCCAGGAGGTTGGGTGCAAGAGCAGGCTGTGGGTGGGAAGATCTGGGTAGGAGGCTGGGTGCAGAAGTGGGCTGAGGGTGGAAAGTTCTGGGTGGGAGGGAGGGTGCAGAAGTGGGTTGAGCCAGTGGGAGCAGCAGAGAGATCCTCCTGGTGAGCAGTTTCCTGTGCTGTCCCTCCAGCCACTTCCTTTGCCCCGTGAGGCTCCTTCCCACCCAAGCAGGGAGCCCGCATTGGCATACCAACCTCAGGAGAGGGGGAGGTCTGGGGTGTCAGTGCAGGCTCTGGGAGGGTTGGGAGGGGCAGAGAGTGAGTCTTAAGCCTGTGGCCCACCTGCAAGATGGTCGTGGACCACACTTTGAGAACCACTGATCTAGGGTCACCAATTGAGAATCAGTACTCCATTGTGCTAGTCACTTACTCAGAAAAAGCTAGTCCTTGTTGCAAAGAGTTCCACACAAGGCTATGGCAACACAATGTGTGGACTCTACTGAATCTTACATATCTTAGTTGCCTTTTTTATTATGAAGTGAATACTTCACACAAACACAATGACCTTATCCCACATTGTTTAGAGTAAAAGATGATGGTAAGAAGTTGGCATGGAAGCTTAGCATTAGGAAGTTTCACAAAAAACAAAGGATTTAAACTAGTGATTTCTGATTAACAGATGAGAAAGTGATATAATGCTTCAAGAATAAAGACGGGAAAAGGAAGATCATCAAACGTGGACATGAAGATATTACCTCATTCACCTATTTGTTCAGTTTTTCCCTGAAATAGATGTATCCATGTCTATAATTGGCCTAAATCATAAAAATACATTTGAAACATTTTTAATAAGGGGTTTATTTATTAAGAGAGTGTGGGCAGGTACACACAAAACGGAACCTACCCATCTTCTCCCATTCAACCCCTGTCTTCGCAAAGAAAAATAAGCTGATCAAATTTAGATTACCTTGCTTCAGAAGTACACACACATTATAAAAGACATTTGATTAAAAAAAAAAATGACAGGCATTTCCTCCCTGGGGTCAGATAATTCTCAAGAACTGGGTGTTTTGTTAGTTTTCCAATTCCATTATGAAGGACTGAATTTTTGTACTTGAGACTTAGAGCCTGTTCTTGCAGTGAGATATGAGATTTGGCAGCAATATCATTCCTCATTTAGAGTTTAAGTGTTGAAGGCCTTTAAAGATGTATAACAATGTTGAAGGTAGACAGTGACTTGCAAAATAGGTTATGACTGTGAAGCAATAGATAGGCTTCATAAACTACTTAATATGTACCTGCACTAAATTTTTTTGAATTCTGTTTTTATACTTAGAGAGGAACTTGTGAAGTATAAATTTAAATTGATTTGTATGTTGGGTACGTTGCAACCAAATATAATAAAGTCTAGACATGCAAATTACAATTTGTGTGCTGCTATGTAGACATTGATAATTGTTTACTGTAAGTGTGCTGTATATATACACAGGACAAGAGTATTTTGAATGACACACCCAGGCACATATATTCACTCTCAGAAATTCTTGATTATGACGACAATGTCTGAGCTGGCTTGTCAGGGCAAAAAAAATCACTGAATTATTATTAAACATCAACTGTGCCATTCTGAAAGAAGGCATGAAACTATACTTATTATTGCTGTTATCTTTTTACCTGCTTTATATCATCTTAAGGTAACTCAACTGTTTTCCCTGCCACTTAAGTTCTATTATCCCATAGGGATATTTTATCCATATGAATTGTAATACAATGCAAGAATGAATGTAAGATCTGAACATTTCAGAACTACATGTCTGGACAGCATAAATCAGCAAAGCTCCAACAAAGTCAGTGGTGCTATGATGACCTATACCTATTGAGAATCAGAAGAGACCTATTCATTCATTCTGACCAATAATGATCAGGTTTTAATTGCAGCCTCCATCCATCCTATGTCCTCTCACTATAGGCATCCTTAGCATGAGTAGGATGCCAAGATGAGTTTTCGGTCTTCATAAGCCTCTCAACTCAGCAAAGCTCCAACAAAGTCAGTGGTGCTATGATGACCTATACCTATTGAGAATCAGAAGAGACCTATTCATTCATTCTGACCAATAATGATCAGGTTTTAATTGCAGCCTCCATCCATCCTATGTCCTCTCACTATAGGCATCCTTAGCATGAGTAGGATGCCAAGATGAGTTTTCGGTCTTCATAAGCCTCTCAACTCCTC